TTAGTGCTTCTGAATGTGGAGGTTCCCCTACCCTCAGGAAATACCACAAGATAAAGTTTTCTTAAAAAATGAAGACATTTGCCCCGGTCACAAGTGCTCTACCAGCACTCCATCCTCCCTGGAATGGTCTGCGTGGATAAGTTAATGGACAAGACGCGTCCCCTGGATGTGCTAGCAGACTGAGCCACGACTGCATGCTATGCCTGCAACCCCACTGTTTCCTCCTAAGAACGCAAGCCGAGAAGGACTCCATGTGCGCAGCCTCCCCTGTCCTCTGACACCTTTCGGTTGCACAAGATATGAGAGGAGAAGAGATTGGATTTACACCCCGCCTTTCACTCGGAGTCTCAGAGCGGCTTACAAACTCCTTTCCCTCCCCCTCCCCACCACAGACACCCTGGGAGGTAGGTGGGGCTAAGAGGGCTCTTGACAGAAATGGCTCTTTTTCAAGAACAGCTCTTGTCAGAACAGAACAGGAGAATATCCCTTGTGTCCAACAGCTGCAGTTCCCTGTCTGATACACTACAGATAAGATACACACCCCATTTCGAGGAAGATCTGCCGGAACTGGCTGCGGACTTTCAGCAGCGGGTGGAGATGACCGCTTTCGGGCATGATGCCCAGGGCCTCAAAGTTATACGCCTTGAACTTCAAGTCTTTCCAGGAGCCACTGCAAGGTTGGGGAAGAGGAAGGAGATTGGGGGGGGGAGCATTAATTCTGCAATAAGGAAAATGACAGGGAGTTCCTGAATCCACTAGACAAGTGGTTTCCTGTACTGGAGAAGACTGACCCTGATGTATTAGCTAGCAAATGTAAGTAGGTATTCTAAAATCTGGATTAGTTAAGACAAATCAGAAGGTAGTAAAGTTCAATGATGCTTAACAGGGGTTAACTAGAGCATGTAGACGATATGAGGTTGACCGATAATTCAGGGGTCATTTCCTACAGGAGCGCACAGGAGCAGAGCTCCGGCAGTAAGGAGCCCAAGGGGCGGGCCCATGCAACAAGCCCTGCACCCCGCTCCCAGCAGCCTTCAGTCGGGCCACGACGAGGAAGAAGCAGCCAGGTAAGTTGCAGAGGCCCCACCCCCGGCCCGCCTTCAGGTACAAGCTCTCCCTCCTCTGTGAGGGCAGATCTGCGCATTCCCCACCCCCCAATAGCTAGCAATCCAAAACAGTCCAGTGGCACCTTTAAGACCAAGTTTTATTCAGGTACAATCTCTCCCTCCTCTGCTAGGACAGATCTGCACGTCCCCCCCCCCCCAATAGCCAGCAATCCAAACCAGCCCAGTGGACCCTTCTG